GGAGATATGTGTATGTTACAAATGGAAGTCTGCTTTGCTTACACGTTTGTAGCTGATAATGAACAATATATAACCAGTGTAAAAATAAAGAAAACAAATTTAACATACACACACACACACACACACTGCAGACTGAGTATTAAACGTTTCTCTGATATACAAGAACTACCGAGAGAGGGAGGGATTCATACAAAGAGAACTGAGAAGGAAAATAAAAAGAGGAAAATATAGACAAATAGTCAGCTCCCCAAATTAAAATAACAGTTTTAAAATACACAATATTAGCTTAAATTTAATAGAATTTTAGAGAACTTACAGTTCTGTAAGGATGAAATTAAAGTTTGATTAAATTTCTAAATCCTGCAAATGTCTTCCTAAGCAACCATTAAACTGTTCTTACAGTCAAAAAGCTACACACAAGTGTCAAAAGGACTGTAAACTTACACTCAAGTGTAAATTTGCAAGTTATGATTAAATCAGAGAAATTTGGTTGATATCATGTTTAGATGAAATCAGAGAAACACACTGAAGAAAACAAAATTAAAAAAAATAAACATGGACAAAGGAAATCAGTGCAGTGGGGCAAGAGAAACGGAGGAAAAAGAGACAGAGAGACAGAAAGAGACAGAGAGAGAGAGAGAGAGAGAGAGACAGAGAGAGGGGAGGACAGAGAGAGACACAGAGAGAGAGAGAGCGATAGAGGGAGGAAGGGGGGACAGAGAGAGAGAGGGTAGGGAGACAGACACAGAGAGAGAGAGAGTGAGAGGGGGAGGAAGGGAGAGAGAGAGAGAGACAGAGAGACAGAGACGGACAGACAGACAGACAGAGAGAGGGGGAGGTGAAAGGGAGGGGGGGGGGCGGAGATGGAGAGGAGGTTCAGATAAAATTATCATTTGATATATCAAGAGAGCAAATTGCCTCCTGTCATATTTTTTTTAAATATATTTCTGTGCACGTTTCTTGAACATGCTAAAAGTCATTTATGAACAATGCCATTTTATAAGCAAACTTAATTCAACCAATAGACCAGTTCACAGTTAGCACATTACTGCAATGACCCCGAATATCCACAGATCTTAAAAACATGAAGAGGTCCCACTTATTACATATTGAAATAATCACTCCTACAACGATGAGGTACTATATAAATAGCCTTTGTTTGCCCTTTTCAAAGAATACTTCCACCTGTGTATCATGGAGTGCACTGAATGTGCATGAATGAATAATGTTACATAACTTTCATGAGCACGTATCAAGTATTTCGTCTCCATGCATTTCAAAATTTATTCTGCAATCACCTTTTTCGGCTCATGCTCAGACTGCAACCGTGAACTGGCTTATTGTTATCAACAATATTTGTATCCATTCAATAATCCCATAATCTGTCTGGTTTGACGTGTTTGTCATAGCCCAAGCAATGATAACAAGGTGTACCACAAAGTTTGTCAGTACATTAATCACAGAAAAAGGGTGACAATAAATTGCAGACGTGCTCTTTTGCTCTAACAATGCTGACAGAGCAATCAGATAATTGAAGACAAGCTCTTCAAAAGAAACTAAAAGCCACTAATCGACTATGAAGTTAAACCCTGACTATTTTTTATCTGGTAAACATGTTAACTAGATAAGAGAGAGAGAGGGACACAACATGTCACCATTGACAAACAATCAGGTCTTTAGAGCAGACTTTGAACCGAGTCTGACTCATTCACACTTCTTTTCACAGCTTGATTAAATGAGCTACAGTGTGAAAGGGACTTCTGGTAATGGTGAAGAAAAAAAAACACCTTTCACAAAGGAAATAAAATAAAATACAAGGATAGTGAAAGAAGAATAAACAAAAGAAGAAGATGAAGGAGAAGGGCAATAATAAGAAGGAAAAAAAGAGGAAGAAGAAGAAGGAGGAGGAGGAGGAGGAGGAGGAGGAGGAGGAGGAGGAGGAGGAGGAGGAGAAGAAGAAGAAGAAGAAGAAGAAGAAGAAGAAGAAGAAGAAGAAGAAGAAGAAGAAGAAGAAGAAGAAGAAGAAAAAAGAAGAAGAAGAAATAGGGGAAGATTACCTTGGGAGATTATAGATACATGCACACTGGTCCATGTTAAAACACTGCTGACAAGCCAAAGCTCAGATCAGATCTAAAGACGATTAAGTGAAGGTCGACAAAAGAGCTGACTGAGATATAAAGTTTTCCTATTGTTCAACATGATTTCAGTCCTTGCATTCGGTTAATCTAAACCCACTAAGAAATGAAAAGGTAGAATAGAGGCTTGGAAGTGCACGAAGTGATGCCCTTTTGTGTGGGTCCTTCACCGTCTGGAGTATTAGATATTGAACTATTTGAATAACACCTTCATGTACATGAAGTCCATTAAGAGCCACAAGGGGCGTTAACTCTTATACTTTAAAGGTAATACAAAGTTTTGGTATGGGGTCATGAATTTGGTTCAAATGAACATATTGGAAGCATATGCGATCCTACAATATTCAGTCATCGTTGTCGCGGTTGAAATTGAGTCTAAAGTTATGAAATTGTAAATGATAAACTCGTTAAGTTGTATAGCTCCCTCTCAAGGTCAAGATATTAATTAATCTATAAAACAATGTTTCTTGACTAAAATCGACCCATTACCTATTCCCGTTTGGAAATTATATATCACAACTACATATTCTGAGATTTACATGGTCGCAGCTACCATTGTACGGCCATAGGCGCTATTTGAAATTTATCAAAATTTACCGGGAGCACCGGTAAATGTTTTTTTTTCAATTTTTCTCGAAAGCAGAAGTGTTTTAACGGCTAATTTTTCTAGTGCTTTCAATACATCCATAGGGGCATTCAAATATATCAAAATTGTAAAGAATCACTATCCACCCAATTTTCAAAATTTCCCAAAACTTTGTATTACCTTTAAAGCCTATCTGCACTAGTTTGGCCATCAGGATGGATTAAACCTCCCTGCATGGTCATTGACAGGTGGTTATCTCATCAAATCAGTTCTCAATTAACATAAGCAAAAAGGGACTATACCTGCCAACATTTGAAAATATGAATTAGGAATTTTTAGCATGGTATGCCCTCGAAAATAAGAAATTGCACTTGCAGCAGTAGTGTAACTGGCAATACGCGGTAAATCTGGACCAAAAAGGAATACAAATTCACTGCTCGATCATGCAGCCATTCAATGCACACAATACATGAACTCTCAAATCATGGCACATGATAAAACAAGCTTAATTTGGCTTTAGCACCCCCCCCCCCCTCCCTACAAGGGGTTTAATGTTCTTATCCTTTGATCTTTATAGTCCTCAACCACTTACCTCCAGACAAAACTAGGTGAAGTTTGTTTTATGATTTTATACATTCTAGCAGGTGATTGATACACTTTACACTTCATGTAGCAGTACTATTCCGTGGATGCACAAATACTGACCTAAAATGAAAAATCTTTGAACACTTGTCAATAACTTCTTGATATAGAAAATGAACAACTGCTGTAACTGCTGTAACTGCGGTAATTCAATTCAATTCAATTTGATTCAATGTAATTCAATGCATTATACCCTCATACATCTACAAGATATTATCAATGCTGTACACCTTTTTAAAATTTGGATGATTTATAGAGCTCCCTCTATCATGATCAAAAAAGAAGGAATTACTGGAAAGCATTGTGGGTAAATCTTCTAAACCAATCCTTTTATTTACGAGAATCAAAGGAACACAAACATACCGGTACTCCTTTCTCACCGGTACTCCTTTCTCACTGCCCCTCCCTCCCTCAATTACATGTTCTTTCTTATAACCCCCCCCCCCCCTCCAATGTTCACAGGAAATAGACAAGAAAAGAAAAGAAGAAAAAAAAACAGATGAAGTAAATGTTCTCTACCTAAACAAAAAATTGTAATAGTTCAACCAGAGGTTTCACCATTTGGATCATGAAGCTCTTCAAATCTATCAAGTTTTGTTATTTACATATAATATGAATATTCATCAGCTGCATAATGACTAAATACTAAATCACCACATTCCTTTATTATGAATATTCATGACATTACTGGAAATATATCTGATGTCCATTGTTACATGAGCTCCTATTTCTTTCAAAATGGTCAAATTTTGAATGTATCTGACTTAACTTATGAGAATACCACCCAATGTATCTTTGTAAATGTAATCTTATCAGTATTCAGGACAGCAAAAAAAAATACTTGAGAATGGTGAGAGATTTAGCTCTCAAAAGCTCCACAAAATAATGAGCTCTGGGAAGAAAAAAAAACATAAATGTATGAAAATCACACTTAAAGGTAAAAGACCAGTATTGGAAACGCCCCAATTTCAAAAAATGAAATGGAAGCTCTTATTACCAATCATGTGACAGAATATGTTTTGACTAATACATGATGATAACAATTTTGCCAGGAAACTGCCTACTAATTGATATATATATATATATATGGTAAATTAGTTTATCTATTGGTGTGTGAGAGATAAACGCACGTGTCAGGCACGTGTGCGTAGTCCCGTATACATCTTTCTGTGTACAGTGCTGGTAACTTTTCTTTCACAATGCAATCGCATGACCATAACTGGTCTTCAGCTTTAAACAAGACCAAATCAATAATGGGCTCCTGTGAACAGAAAAGTATTTGATGTGTGCTGTAACTCGAAATCCAGTTCTAATGCTTGCAAAATTAAGAAAAAGTATACCTCCTCGCTAAAGACAGCAGACAAAACAAATGATAAGGAAAGGAAAAACAGGAATTGATAAAAAAAAAATTGAAAATTCTGCTCTACATGTTAATTGATAAAAGGAGTTTCATGGGAGCAGAGCTAGTCACACACAAAAAAATGTTGTGATAAAAAATATCTTAATTTATAGCAAAGATAATATCCAAAAGCTAGAATTTCATACAACAGATTGCTAGGAAATCGCAATTCCATTTGAAATATGCAACATAAAACACAAAATTTCAGATAAATGGCCACATGGCTCTCAAATATATATTCCTTTTCTTGTTTTTTTTTCTTTAAAAGGCAAGACAAAATCGAAATAAACATATGAACTAAAATAAGGACTAGGAAGAAAATCCTATGATGGCAATGAATTCAAACAATTTAAAATACAATGCTAGATTGAATTAATGTAACGATGGTGAGACAGCATTACAAGAATTCATAACTAGATAAGGTTGAGAAGATATTGGATCGCACTAAGCTTATCTCCTCTTTGTCTTGCGCGGTTGATTGCCACATATTTACACTGTTTTGCAATAGCAATAGCGCTGCATCGTAAAACACATAATATAGAATACTAGGCTACTTTGTATAAAGCTACAGCAATGGAAGAAACATGATATTATATCCTTGAGTGTTCATTCAATGCCGTGACCATCATGAATATTCATCTACTAATGAATGAATATTCATTTACCAATGAAAAATTATCCATCTATTATATTATATTTCAATACAGCGTTTTACGAATGCATTCAAATGTTATGTATGGTCTACTACAAATAGATTATTTGAAGCGAACCGATACTTAACACCTCATGGGTATTCATGAGTCTTAGCCATGACCAACTACTTTCCTTATGAATATTCATAATACTACTGGGTATTCATAAGCCCATTAATCATGTGCATTATGTGATTGTTCTTATTAGGACAGAGGTATTTCTTTGAGAATCCTCAAAAGAGAAAAGCACCTCATGACTATTCATCAGTTCTAATTGTAATCTTTTGCATAAAACATGTATTATTATCATAATTTTTGCTCACGGAATGGACATTTTTATAGATATTCACGTAAACATTAATAAGTTGAATTTGTATAGTGCAGCTACTATATAAATATACTCTACTGCGCTCAGTTATACCTACAAATTTTAAAGCCAGAAGGATGTTTATCAGCAAGATTCTTCGACTCAATGTTTCCTACGGCGGAGCATCCAACTTCCTTGTGAAATGAATATTGATGAGAATGAACCTCATGAATATTGATGAGAATGAACCTCATGAATATTGATGAGAATGAACTTGATGAATATTCATCCACTGAGAGGTTGAAGGTCAACCCTGACCTTCTCCTCCGGGCTGAGGAGGCCTACGGTCGGGTAGAAGCCTCCAGCTGGGATGGTCACGTTCTCTCGTCTACCAATCGTTGTTCCATTCCGTGTAAAGAAGACCTACATGTACAAAGGAAAACAAAATTGTTAGGAAATTGTTAGGAAGTGTAAAGAAGACCTAGAAAGAAAAAAACCAAGATGAATTCATTGTCTTTGTCTTTGCACTGAAGGAAGAACATTTACATGTAATTAGATTTTGGGATAAATGGGTCAGAGGTTAAAAGTCAAAGGTCACAGTGACCAATTTCCATTAAAATACAGGTTTTAGCCTCATCGCAATATTTGAAATGATGTCTGAGGTATGAATTCTTAACTTGGAGATAGTATGTAACAGCATTAAAGGAGACAAACTAGATCTTGGGGTCAGTAGGTGAAGAGGTGAAGAGACAATCTCTCTTCTGCGTATCATTGTTCCATCGCGTGTAAAGAAGACGTATTAAAAGAAACAAGATAAATTCATCTCTAAAGTCTGTTTGTCTTTGAATGGCAGTAAAGACTTGCAAGAAGACAAGATGATAAGCATGCTCACGCCTACATTCGGGTTCTTTCATTTCAGGATGCATCATACTTCATGACAATAACTACTATTTATCTAATACATGAAGCCATGAAATAGCAAAAGCAAGCCAATGATTAATTAGTCTAGAACATACGCTTCCTGACCCCTAACCTTTAACCCAATAACCCTGAAATCTGATCGTTTTGTCCTGCTATCGTGATACATACTAGCATCTAGTTTAAAGCCACACTGTCTTACTTGTAGATACTTGCTCCCGCTATATAGAAAACTTCCCCAATCCGTGCCTGTTGGTCCCCCATGATCCTCTTTTTCTTATGTTAATTGAGAGCTGAGTTAATGAGATAGCCACCTGTCACAGTGACCTCCCTGGCTTGCTGGGTGGTCTAATGCCTTCTGGCTGAACTAGTACAGACAGCCTTTAAGTCAAAATTCTCAAACGGTTCCTATGACTCTTCACCTACTGACCCCAAGATCTAATCAGTTTGTCTCCTTTAAAGGGATACAGTAACTAACAAAATCCTGGATTTAGCTCATGCTGCAATGATAATTATAAACCATTAGGTCAGTCAAGAACCCCATGACTTTTACAAGCCGGTCGCCTGTCTGATTATCAGATATTTATGATTGGAATTACAAATTTTGAAACCCGTTTGCCAAACAGATTTCATTACACTACAGTCTATTGGGGAAAACGAGTATGGTAAAACCGGTCACTCAAAGATTTTTACTTTTTTGAGGCACTTCTTGATCATTTGAAAGCGCAATTTTGTTAGGGCTTCATTATTACACCATATCACAGACAATAATAACACGTAGGGCCGTGCAGTTCACATTTAACATTGTTAAATAATCCTACCAGGTACCCATTTACCTCACCTGGGTGTAGTGTGGCAAATGTAGATTAGCGTCTTGCCATAGGACGTTAGTGTTGTGTTCACAGTCCCGAGTCTTATCCACTGGACCACAACACCTCTACGATTATACATATTTAATAACAAATATTTTAAAAATCTTGTTCTTTGTAAATAGTGTAAATAGTCCACAACCCTTCAGGAATTTTATTTGTCATATATTATATATTTGAAAGGTGTTGTAATGATTCAAGCTCTATTTGCTTATGTTTCATCACCATTGTGTGTTCATTCTTTAAACTGTATAAGAGTTGCAACTTGTCTTTGATAAAACATTGTTATATTCTTTTTCATGTGAAGTCAATTCAAATGGATTGTAAAATTGAAAATGATTTGTTATATTGTATTCTTTTTCATGTGATGTTAACTCCAATGAATATTGAAATTGTGAACATGCATGCATAAATAAATAAATAAATAAATAAATAAATAAATAAATAAATAAATATATAAATAAATAAACATCACATCAACTGATTTAAATGGTATATCTGCCTTTGTTATTGATAAAACTTACTCAGGGCTTGAATTAATCCAAGGCCAGCAAGGCCATGGCCGTGGATGCCCCTTTGAGTGGCCTCAATGCCCCTCTTACTGGCCTTGGATATTTGTTGTGCCCTTTTCAATTCTTCCTATTTGTTCTGTAATATAGGAATGTGCCCTACAGAAAAGTGGCCTTGCACTAAATATATTGAAAGTTAAGGTCTGCTTACTTGTACTTTTGTTCTTTCCTGCTTCCTCTCGCCGACGCCCATAGCGTTGATCAGCTCATCATCAAGCCAGAGATCATCGTCATCTGAGAAGTCGTAGAGACGGATATCATTGTTATCTTGCTGAGCTGGTTCCCCTAGTCTGTTAGGGTTGGGCTTCCCAGGTGTCCATTCGTCAATGATCTCCTCTTCAGTATCGCTACCATCATCACTGACATGAAAGGAGAGAAAGATAGGAGAGAAGGTGAGAGGATTATACTGAGGATGAGGTGTCCAGTCATCAATGATCTCCTCTTCAGTATCGCTACCATCATCACTGACATGAAAGGAGAGAAGGTGAGAGGATTATACTGAGGATGAGGTCTCGAGTCATCAATGATCTCCTCTTCAGTATCGCTACCATCATCACTGACATGAAAGGAGAGAAGGTGAGAGGATTATACTGAGGATGGGGTCTCGAGTCATCAATGATCTCCTCTTCAGTATCGCTACCATCATCACTGACATGAAAGGAGAGAAGGTGAGAGGATTATACTGAGGATGAGGTCTCGAGTCATCAATGATCTCCTCTTCAGTATCGCTACCATCATCACTGACATGAAAGGAGAGAAAGATAGGAGAGAGGATTATACTGAGGATGAGGAGGAATAGAGGGAGGATGATGAGGATGATGTAATGCTAATGACAATGTTGATAATGGTTATATCTTTTGCTTGTCAAAAGTTTGTTGGGTGTCAGCGACCCAAAACCTGACCACCCTGTTTTTCTTGAGAGAGGGGCAGAGAGAGGGGCAGAGAGAGGGGCAGAGAGAGGGGGTGGGACAGATTTTGATAGTAATAATAATATCAAAACGGTGCCTATAAAGCGCTTTCCAACAAGTCTCTAAGTGATATAACAAACAAAATATAATGACAAAGAATTATATTAAACCAAAAAAAAATTACAGATAAGAGAAAATAAGAGAATGAGAGATAGAGAGAGAGAGAGAGAGAAAGAGAGATAATGTGTGATCGAGAGAGTTGATAGAGAGTTGATAGAGAGGTGGAGAGGGGATAGAGAGAGGCAGAGAGACAGAGAGAGTTGGAAGAGATACAGAGAGGAGGACAGAGAGAGGCAGAGAGGCAGAAAGAGAGAGAGAGATGATGAGAGGGGTGACCTTACCTGTCTGTTTGATAGTCTCTAGGAAACATAATGATAGGGAGAGGCAGAGAGACGGAGAGGGGGACAGAGAGACAGAGAGAGACAGAGAGAGAGGCAGAGAGAGAGAGAGAGAGATGATGAGAGTGATAACCTTACCTGTCTGTTTAATAGTCTCTAGGAAATATAATGACAGGGAGAGGCAGAGAGACGGAGAGGGGGACAGAGAGAGGCAGAGAGGCAGAGAGAGAGAGAGAGATGGTGAGAGGGGTGACCTTACCTGTCTGTTTGATAGTCTCTAGGAAACATAAAGACAGAGAGAGACAGAGAGACGGAGAGGGGGACAGAGAGAGGCAGAGAGGCAGAGAGAGAGAGAGATGGTGAGAGGGGTGACCTTACCTGTCCGTTTGATAGTCTCTAGGAAACATAATACCACATCCCATGATGTCTCCCTTGTGGCACTTAGGTCCAAAAGGGTTCCCTACTCCGTGACCTGTGAAGATCTTTCCATCATCTACCAAATCAAAAGCAAGAAAAAGATCATTTTCAAAAAAACATGACGTGAAAGTGCCGTGGGATAGTGGTCCCTTTATCGGATTCTCAATCAAAGGAACCCCGCATGGAACTAACGTTCTTTAGAAATATAATATTGTTACAGAAATTGGATGTTCGAAAATTTAAAAGGGAGGTCTGAATTGGGAGACTAGCCCCCAATTTGGCCAGGGGTATTGGAATTGTGTAAAAATTTTGGAGCTGAGGTAGTTTTTATGTCAGACCAGTTTTGGAACTTAGAAGGAGCTGGGAAGATGTTGCTTGGGAGCTTTTCAAGTCAAAGGGCAAGAACCAGTACAAATGCGAGTTAAATGTAACTGTAATTAGCTTGTGGCAAGTAAATATATTGGATATCACCTTTATGTTTCTGGTGAATATAAACATCAGTCATATAAAAATCATTGTTTGATAACTCCTTTCTCTCAGAGACTGCAATTGTATGTGATTGTGACCTGGCCCTGGCCTTGCGTGAGCATTAATAAGCGAGTTCGTAATTAGGATTTACGCATGGGCAGATAAAGGTCATACGTTCCCAAATAGTAAAACCAGCGAGACAAATGCGGGTATCGTGCTCATGAAAGTTATGTAATCAGTACTCTCTTATGCACTGACAGTACATTTATTTGATACACAGGTGGAAGTATTCTTCTCAAGAGGCAAACAAAAGGTATTCATGAAGCACCTCCATCACTTCGGCAGTGATTATTCTAAAATACACAAGTGGGACGTTTCCATCGTGTAAAAGATCTGTGGATATTTGGGGGTCATGCGTTCCTAAGCTATTTACGAACTGGCTTATATAGGCTAGACTAAACCTATACCCTGGAGTCTTTAAATTCCCCATTTTCTTATTAAAAAAATTCCCCAAAGTTATAACATTACTCTGCATTTCCCATTCTCCACCCAGGTGTAAATGGATAGCTGACAATTGCTTGTGTACACAGCATTGATGCTAATGAGGCTTCCATTGCAAAACAAAAATATTATTATTATAATTATTATAATTTTTTGAGGAAGAGCAGACATCACTATAAACATGACTGACAAGGAAAGCGGACAAAATATACAGTTCCTCAAGTAGACAAAGGAACATCCCTTCACTGCTATTATGTAAAAATGTGTAGAACAGGTGTCACATGCATATTCACCTTTTTACATAATAGCAGTGAAGGGACGTTCCTTTGTCTGCCTGAGGAACTGTATATTTTGTCCGCTTTCTTAGTCCGTCATGTTCATAGTGCATAGTGATGCTCTAACAAAACCTCAGTTAAAAGTTATTCTGGGTTATATTTTTATCTCATGGGGCGGTCACACATAGGGGAGGCACAGGGGGACGCACGGTCTAGCAAAAGCCTAGTGCACACATAGGGCATACCTTGCGCGCTTAAAATGCATGTCAAGAATATGAGCATGCTGAACGAGTGCTGAACTGGTCTCTTGTGTACCAAACGTTCTTCTTTCGTGTTCCTAGCGTATACCTAGCATGTAAATAGCGTAATGGGGTTCAGGGACGTTGGGTTAATTCTCTTGGGTGGCATCTTGAAGAGCTCAGTTGTACACTCGTCGACTCTCATTGATATGACGAGCCGCTGCTTTTAATAGGCACAGTCACCTGACCGCTGCCGTTCGCAAGCTGGCTGTGCGTTGAGCACGCGGTGCATGCCTGGACCTTTCCGCAGTCTAGCAACACGCTGTACATTCATGGTATTTATTAACATGTGCGCTCTGTATATGGTCTGTATGTTTATGCACAGCGTGCTAGCAACACACTATATGCATTCGGTGTCAGGTAGCTAGCTTCTCCCAAATCTTGACAAAAGATGGGCGAACAACGAGCCTTGCGTCATCTTTGTGTGATGGGCCGTCAAATGAAGTATTATGGTAAGAAATGAAATTGCGTTGCAGGTTACGTATAAACTCAAATTCACCTGCATGATAAGCAATGGACCCCCTATCCCAGCCAGGATGCATATTAGCTGGGTAGTCCTTCCGGGTCACTCCAAGGGCCACATAGCAACTCCTTCCTGGGTCAATAATCTCCAACTCAAAATAGTGGTTTGCTGGGCCGAGTCGTTTACGCCCCTGTGCCACGCCAAACTCTGAGAAATCCTCCCCCTTGCCAGTGTACGTCACAATCTGTTGTCGATACAAGAACAAAATATTGAGATTGTGCCTGTTTGTCTCATGCTGGTGACAATAATTCTTCCATTTTCCTACCAACATGCAGTCTTTCAAACTGTATAATAAGCAATATCTGTGATCAGAGCATAAATTCTGATAATTCTTATTTAACTTTCTTAACACCTAGTGTTTGGTTCTACCCCACACAGCACTTCTAGTATTCATATGGCTGTTGTGTACATACTGACTTTGCAAATGCATGTTGTAAGAATATCCGACCATGACCTAACAAGTGCGCTGTTGAAAAACACAAGTCAGAAAAAATCTTGGAACCAGCGGGATTTGAACCTGCCATCTACTGCTTGCCGGGCAGCGACTCTACCACCAGGCCATCACTGGTCCATGGCACAGTCACGATGAACTAGAAACAAATACCTAAGCTCTCCTGATTAATTCTGACTCATTAATATTCATTAGTCCGCCATAGGACAGTAACTTTTTTATAAATGTAATGCTTCCTGGGAGAAATTATTAAATATATTTGTGGCTTCCACCCAGTAAATAAGATCGATTGATCGATCTGTATCAATAAGGTCGATTGATCGACCTGTATTGAAAAACAAGTCTGACTTGTGTTTTTCAATACAGGTCGATCAATCGACCTTATTGATACAGATCGATCAATTGATCTTATTTACTGTGTGGAAGCCACAAATATATTTAATAATTGAAATTTCTCCCAGGAAGCATTACATTTATAAAAAAGTGCGCTGTTGCGCAACGTATTCTGTGTATGATATTCAATGAGCTCCTACATTTGAACCACTGAACTCAAGCATTCTGGATAGCCAGCCTACGAGGCAATCTTCACATAATAATAATAATAATAATCTTTCAAAGTCGAACTCAAATTTTATTAAGTTAAACCGAAAATGGAAATTCTTTTTGCCCAATTGATCGTGAGCCCGGCAGCCACTGAGCAGCGCCAGATCGACGTTGCTCTATCCCTTATTGTTGAACGCCAAACAAGGTAGCAGCAACTCCCGTCTTTTAACATTTTTGGTATGACGCGGTCGGGGTTTGAACCTACGACCTCCCGGTTGTGAGGCGGACGCTCTACTGGCTGAGCCAACACACCGGTACATGCAAGGCTGTGTGTACATACATGTACTGACATGGGTATAGTGGGAATAGCCAACTGCCCTCATATGAGTTCGCTATTGCACCATGTACTATGTGTGTATTCAATGCATGCATGCATACGTGCACTCACATTTGTAATAATTGAAGCTGCATTTGGAATTTCGTGCAGAGGGTATGAAATAAGTAATAATTACAAACTTTTCTTAATAGTTGGTAGCTGTGGTTTATCAACGCATCTAATCAAGGCTTCTTGCACTGTAAATCTTCATCTTCTCCCCACATCTCTACTTAAACTTGGTGTTTAATAACAAGATTGACCTTTGACCTTTGACCTTTACCTGTCCATTGGTGGTAGCATGGTTGACCCTCCTCCACATCTGTTCCTCCATGACATCATCTATCAGCATGTCCTCTTCCTGGTAGGCCCATCGGCTCAGGCCCAGGTACTTAACATGCTGCTCTCTGCCCCCGAGACTGAATGCTGGGTAGAAAGGCTTCTGGGGGTCAAGGGTTATCTCATGTTGAAGGATCTAAAGAAGAGAAATAAAATATTCATGGTCTTATATCTTTGATCAAAATTTAGTCTAAATCTGATTTTTTTTTTTTTTTTTTTTTTTTTTTTTTTAAATCTGAGCAGTGGTTTTACAAAATCATATTACAGTTGTTGTAATCCTAAAAGAGATAATCAGTATATATAAGACCATATTACTCTCTCATGAAAAAGCCTAAGGACTTTATATGTTAAAAAAGCAGTAAATATAAGACCGTATTGACCGTGCCGTATTTTGTAAATTTCATTGCGCATCTATTATGAGTACAACAACCTGCGCACTTTGCATGCACTCTATTGTGACACAATAATCACACCAAAGGCACACTGGTTGCAGTGTATCATAAATTTTGTCAAGCACTGGATGCACAGTGCTGGTTTGACAAAGTTTTTTCAGTTCTTTAAGATTTGTCATGGTTGATCTATGTACTTGCTCTAGATGTCTGATTTGGATAACGATAAAAATATTGACTGGCTTAACTTTCGGGAGATACCACATACATCACAAGACCCATATAGCCCTCGTCTTTGACTCGGGCACTATGAGTCTAGTTTGGGAAATATATGTTTTATCTCCCTCAAGGCCAGTTAATATTATATAAATATGTAATTGCGGCTAAGCATGACAAGTTAAGCCTCCATTTCCAAAACATTATATTTGAGTTGTAGTGGATGTTTTGTCATTTCACATTCCTGTACATGATTGTAAATAGCCAGTTGGCTTTTATGTTATCCCTGAGTACCCATTAAAAAATATTTTTTTAAATATTTGTAAAACCTGCTTCAGCGAACACCTGTCTATAAAGACCATACAATTTCTCATTGAAACCTGTTCTAAAGGAACCTGTACATAAAGACCCTCTTCATATAAGGACCAATTAATTCTAGTGCTTCCCTTGAGCGGTCTTTATATACAGGTTTCACTGTATCAGGTACTTCTTCAGAAATGACAGAAATATCACATTTTCTACATAAACTCCTTAAAAAAGCCCCTATAGAGAAAACAAGCATTAGTGTTGGGGAAAAAGGGAGGAGGTTTTCGGCCACTTGAGACAAAATCAAAATTTTGCACTTTTTGTTCCAGAGGTATTTTCATTTCTTGTTAAAGTCTTAGACTGATTATGATCTCTACAGCATATCAGAGCCTGTTATTTTTTGATTTTTTTTTAAATTTTTAAATTGATGCTTTCTGATTTCAGCTTTCTGTACGTTCTTTCCATTCACTTTGAACAGTATATCTTTTCAAAATGAACAATTTTTTTGTTCATTATTTGGTATCTGAGTGAGAGGGGTTTTTTTTACTATCATTTAGCTGAAATAAAGTAAAGGTGATCTTTGATAAGAGGTAAAAAGGGTAGTGAATATCATCTTGACTGTTCTGCAAATAAAAATAATGCCTACCTCACACTTTTTTGACCAAAATAATAAAGAAAAATGTGTTCATTTTTAAATGATTTAGCTCTTGAAAGCTCTGAAAGTGCTCTGGTAAAAAACAATAAAAAACTTTAATATCACTATGAGAAAATCACAGTCACACAACAAGAATTCCTAAAAGAGCTCAAGCGAACAGTATGTTTTTTAAGACTGTTCGGTATGTGATGATTGTTGAGTTTGGCAGTCCACTATTTGTTCTGTTAGTCAACCACAGTGGACAAGAAATTCAGAGAATTCAGAATGGGTCATTCGGTCAATTACCCTTTTTCCGTTGACCACAACGGAGAGTGGGCAGGTGACTGTGCCTGCATCCTCATCCAAACATTCAGCCTTTTCAAAGTGAAGAGCGATTCCAACTTTGTCAAAGTTCTGGGCTGGAGGGCAGACTAGCATGTCTGGTTTGCCAAAGTAGCTAAATGAAAAATAAAAATTATTTATTATATATTTATTGTCTATATAGCATAAAAATACAAAAAGAGTAAAAGAAAGAAAGATGATGAATTATATATTTATTGTCTATATATTGCATAACAATGCAAAAAGAGTAACGTGCTAAATCGATATTCTTCATTAGTTGTGCCAGGGCCCCCGTCTTTATTAAAAATTTGATATTAATCGCATCTTATTTGCGATTGATATCAATGATCAATCGTAACTATATACATAATATGAAGAGAAAGGAGACTGCAAACTTGCTGTTGATTGCAGGAGTGGCAACTGATTTGAATCAATTGCAACTCTTTAGGCTACATTAAAGATGGGACCCAGAAAAGCAAATAACTTGATTTGAGCTGAGCAAGACACAAACCAGCCTTAATTACAAGACGTCATGTCAACTTTGTAACAGAGGCCCGGTAGAAAAGACTTCTTATAATGAAGTTTATTTTCTCAACGAAAAAAGTTGACACGACTTTAATTAAATCTGTTTTTTATCTAGGGGCAGCTCTGTTTAAATCCTACAGGCGTGCAAGTTTGAGACCGATCCTGATGCGAGTGCGAGTGGATCTAGTAGAATTGAAAAGCCCCATCTATTACTGTCTTCAAAGCTTTGATCTTTTTTGTTGTTGATTGATTCCAAATTTATTCCATTTCATATATATCAATTGTTTACACAATAAAGAACATATTTTACAAAGTTCAAAATTATGAAATGAAACAGGAAAGCATAGCTTGTTTTTGTAGGTTCCCAAGAATGAATATATGAACATTATTTTCATAAATTATTTTAAAGTGTCTTAATAATCACAATAAAATAGATATAATATAATAACATATTTTCATCGACCCTTTTGTTGAGGACACACTAGTTCTCAGGAAATTGTTAATGTTTTTTTATATTTGTATTGTGTTTGTAAGGTAGCACTGTTAGAAGTTTTGCTTTTATTACAGCGGGGCAGAGTATATAAATAATAATAATAATAATAGATCACATTTATAACGCGCATAATACATTGTTTCTAGGCGCTGTGGTGCTGTTGTCCCAGCAGCCATTAATTGAAGCAATGTCCTGACACGAAATAAAAGCCGGGACGACAGCAATGCGCTATATAAATTGATATCATTATTTATTATCATTAATTGAATATCAGCAGAGACGTACCCTTTACCATCATACACGCTATATCCAATGGAAGTTTTAGTTGAACCAAGATGCATATCTGTAGGGTGTGTCTGCATTGCCAGGCCAACACGTATCTCCTCACTACCCACACCTTGTCCCTTGATCTCCACCTAGAAGCATGTTCACATTGATAATGCACACAATTAGATAAGCATGAGAGGAGGAACTCCATGACCAAATACTCCTACAATGATCTTCATAAAGTGTTAAAGTGTTAGACTTCAGGTTCATGCATAGTATTACGATATCACCTACAAACATGTACTGTATTATTTGTATTTAAGGCCCCACTGTCCAACTTGTAGCTAATTGCTCCCTCTATACAGAAAACTTCCTCAATCTATGCCTGTTGGTCCCCCATGATCCTCTATTTCTTATGTTATTTGAGAGCTGAGTTGATGAGATAGCCACCTGTCAGTGACCTCGCTGTGTGGTCTAATCCCTCCTAGCCAAACTAGTACCGACGGTCTTTAAAAGTCAAGTATTAATTAAAACAACTTGATATATCTTGCACAAAGCTGATCTACCGTCATCTAGCTGGTTGATCTATCAAACCATGTCTAATTAAAGATAAAGACGAGTTCTGGTCATCCCATTGCATTGTGAAAGAAAAGGTGTGGAATGGATCAGAAAAAGTTGATCATGTAGCATGTAAGTATTGGTGTGCACTGCAAGGTTCTAGAGTCATCAAAATCATAATAAATTTGGCCCAGTCTTGGTAAAGTAACAAGCACTTACACAGAAAGATGTATATGGGACAACACAAATGGTGTCGGGGCTAGCTTACCTTGATTTCCTTATCTTTTTATGCTCATTACTCAGCCAGTATACATTTTCTTCCAAAATTGTTTGGCACATGAAATTTATTTGTAATCTTGAACATTCAGTGTAAGCTCCGTTTAATTCTGTGAGAATTCATTTAATTTTTTTCCAGAACTCAAGTTTAACTTTAGAAGGAACATTTTCTGACACTACATTTGGTTTGGAGATCTAGGGATTTATCTACATACCTCAAAGAAGTTTTCTTCTTCTGTTAAATCGACCAAGGCTATACATGCTGCAGTCAGTTTATTTCTTCCTCCTGTATGCCTGAAACTTCTCTCTTTCCCGTACAGATTAAGCAGCGTGCAGCACTGGCCCTTTAAGAATTCAATCTCTTTATCTTCTTCCTGAAGACCGAAGCGCAGCCCTGGAGGAGGGATCCCTGGGGGTATGTTTGGGGCCCGGAATGGATTGCCTACATTCACAGGTCCAGGCTGTATGTGGTTAGCAGCAATGGGTGGAGGGACGTACATGTTTCGGCGCCCAAGGAGCTGAGCAAAGAGGTCTTCACCGTTGTCTGCAAGCCGTCTCCGTCGCCGCCGGGGATCCATCCTCGGATCCATAGATCAAAGGCCAAGTCAAGACCGATGTAAAGCTCTCAATCAGCACAGAGATATCAGTAGGAAGAAAGAAGTGAAATTCCTGCAGATAATAAAAGAGGGAGATTGTATTTTTATTATTATTTATTATTATTTATTTGGCATTTCAAACATACAATAGAAGGTACAATAGAATGGCACATACATGTATGTAGGATACAAAGTATGAAAGAATAAAATTGGCTTCCCTGCTGCACCTCTCGAAGTTGCCTGAAAGAATAACAGGAATGTCAAATTCTTATAACCCGTAAGTCTTTTCTTTCCGACTCCAGGAAATGTATCAGGGGATGCCTAAAATATAATACATAATCAGATTTGAAGTGGATTTGAGGGGGATGAAATCAAGATCAATGCAGAGATCGTTATCAATCTAAGACTTTAACAAGAAATAAAAACACATCTTGAACAAAGAGTAAAAAATTAGTCTCAATTAGTTCTAGATATTACAGAAAATGTAAGCAAAACATATCGTCTCCCAAAGAGGCTAACAAAAATGTTGAAAAAACGTCTTGGACAATAGAGTAGTTGTTAGATGTCATCGAGTCATCAAGTTATCCCTGACTCCTGGGCAGCCTTTCACCATTAAAACAAACTTCACATCAACGGACATGGTCTACAACAACTCAAAATGACAAAATAATCCCAGCTATGCAATTGGATGCATGTTTTAGTATTTGAATTTTTTCGGCTCCTCAAAAACTACTTTTCTTGTGATTCAGAGTACTTTCACCTATCCCAAATACATAGGCTAATGAATCATGTATTCGAATCCTAGATTTTACCTTTACTTAAATTTAACTTGATTTCCTAATGAGTAATGATTTCAGTCTACTGTACAATCAACTTGAACGAGATCCTATTGTCCTCTTTCCCTTTGTTCTTGTTCGTGCAAAGGCAGCACTCAAATCTCCAGGTATATCTCTCTCTCTCTCTCTTTCTCTCTCTCTCTCTCTATCTCTCTCTCTCTCTACCTGCACCTGCCCTACATGTACATGCCTATGATCACAGCTTCAATGCATGGCACGTTTTTTCCTGCCTATTATCACAATTGGAGTATATAGACTGTTTTCCATGTACCGTAAATCCTATTTGTTTAATTTTGCGTTTTGAAGACAGACATTCATTCATTCTTTCATTTTTGCATTTTCTTTCTTATGTAAATGTACACAATTCTTTGTCATGATGTAATGTGTTCCCTAATATTTTGAAGCGCCTTGAGCATTTAATTAAAATGGAAAAAGGCGCTATATAAATCTCATGTATTATTATTATTACAGGTTTATTCGTTTTATATATATTCAATCGAAAGAATGTTTTCATTTCTAAATCTTCTACTTTGTTTAGATCTAGCAATTATCATAATTTGACGACGAGCGCACAAATCATAGACGTAGACACTTACGCCCGGGAATCTGCCTTCCTAATTGGGTATGAATGATCAGCAGGGGCGCTGGTCCGAGAATAAGGATCGTCCACATACTGTACATGAGGATCGTTTTCGTAAACGCGGAGAGATGCTTCCTCAAAAATAAGGATCATCATATTTCAGATCTGCGCTTTGGTGAAGCGAAGAAAGTATTCCGCAATGGTTTTCTTGATGCATTTTACATTGACTTTGTACAGAAACTTTCACGGATTATGAGCGATAAATCCTCGGAAAGATGAACAATCCATAAAAGATAACGGTGCACATAGAACTTTCACATTGAGTGTTGTACATTTAGAAAACGCGCTCCCATTGGCCGATCCGTTGAGTGGCTTCAAATTTAAGTGAGAGAGGGCCTACTTAACTTAAGCGCAACTTGAATGGCAATGCCAACACGTAATATTACATAACACACTGACATGTCATGCTTTAAATAGGTGACGCACGCGCACTTCACACATAACTGACGCACACTCAGCATAGGTACACACATAGGAGGGGGTTTCCGACTACAAATTAGACAAAATTCTAATTTTGGGACTCTTTACTTCCTATTAGACTAGGTCTAGATCTATTATCATTTATTGTTTAAATCATGAAGCAAATATTATTATTATTTAAACAAAAAAAGAATCCCAGAAAAAAATCACGAATTGCCATGGCAATATTCGTTTCAATTTTCACTGTTTCAGACGCTATTAATCTGCGTTTACGAGGAAACCCTCGTTTATCAACTTTATGTGGACGATCCTCATTCTCGGACCACCGCCCTTGGCCTTACTGATGACTATGAATCGGCTAAAATTATGGTGTCTGATCGCGCACTCGGTTTTGTGTGCTAAAATCCTTCCCATAGGCATAGAGATTGCAGAGACTGAAGCTTTCGATTTGTCGGGCTACTGCAATCTATGCCTCATCACAATACAGGGTTTTCTACAAGTGGGACCGTTATGAATGATCGCATGAAATAACTCGTAGACATAAACCTAAACATCATAGTTTACACGACAAAAATGAAACATTGCTACTTAAAAAACAGACAATTGTTTCCAGTTAGAACATGTAAAAATAGTCGTTCTCGAATACATTTAAATCACATTTATTGACAGATCACAAATCCGTTAAACATCTTACCCAATTTCCATGTTTTGATTATCCTATTTCTCATGATTTCGGAAGCTAGCGACCAATTATAAACCAGTGACCAATAAGGAAGCTAGCGACCAATATTTAAATGGTAATAATATTTGTCTTGCGCAGAACACATTGAACCACTATAGTGAATGTGTATTTGCTATGTGGTAATTGTTTTGCTGCTAAATATATTTAGACCAAACAAAATGTATCACAAACATTTTTTGAGGCCTTTCACCACGTTTAATATCTCAGCTATGACCATGGGAACTTCATAGACTAGTTTGGGAAACGCCCCCTCTCAAAAAATGAAATGGAATTAGCTTGTACCATGGTACAAGCTATAATTCCATTTCATTTTTTGAGTGTGAAAGAATATGTTTTGATTATAATACGTGATGATCCAAATTTTGCCGGGAAACTGCCTACTAATTTATATATTTGGTACATTATCATATCAATCCGGCCTGGATAGATCCTTTTAGATATCGCGAATGCACTTTAACATTAAACATTTGTGCATATATTTCTGCTTTTTTGCAAATGTATTGCCATCTAAACCTCTGAAGGCAATAAACAATATTGAATGGATATTTTGCACCCAAAACCTTTGAACTGCAATTTTACCACTACCAGTCTATAAATATCTTGAATTATATCACGTAGGCCTATACCCGCCCGCCCCCTCCCTTCTCTCCCCTGGCTCCCCCCCCCCCTTCTCCCTCTCTCTCTCTCTCTCTCTCTCTCTCTCTCTCTCTCTCTCTCTTTTGTCGCGATGTCGGCCCGATGTCGACCTAATTATGACGTCGCGACGTCATAATTAGGTCGGAAAATGACAATGGATGTCCAACATCAATTTTCTGACCACAACACTGGTCTTCTTGATATTCTATCCTTTCCCTGACATTAGCACCATGTCGATCGGCCAAACGTCAGCTGTGAGTTCATGATTCGGCCCGGGAAGAGGGGGGGGGGCACTAATTTGTCTATACCACGATGCAGAACTCAGCGCTACAAACAATCGACAGTTCCCTCTCTTGTTCGTTTGCTAAATTCAATCAATTGAAATCTTGTTAGACCTATTTATAATGTATTGTCATTATTCGAACTCTCTCCCTCTCTCCGTCTCTCTCTCTCTCTCTCTCTCTCTCTCTCTCTATCTATCTCTCTCTGTGTCTGTCTTTCTCCCTTTCTCTAGCTTTTTTTCTCTCTTTCTCCTTTCTCTCCTCCCCAGTAGCGTACCTGAGGGGGTGGGGGCAGGGGGGCAGAGTGCCCCCCCCCCTGACGGGCTCCAGGGGAAAAAAAGGGGGAAGGGGAAAGGGGGAAGGGGAAAGGAGAAGAAAAAAAAGGGGGGAAAGAGAAAAAAGAGGAAAGAAAAGAAAAGAAAGGAGGGGAAAGAAAAAGAAAAAAGAAAAAGGGGAAAGAAAAGAAAAGGAAGGAGGGGAAAGAAAAAAAAAAGGAAAAGGGGAAACTAAAAAAAGAATAGAAAGGAGAGAAAAAGAATAGAAAGGAAAAAAAGAGAAAAAAGGAAAAGGAAAGAAAAAAGGAAGAAGAAGAGAACAGGAAGAAAAAGGGAAAAGAAAAGGAAAGAAAAAAATGGGGAAATTAAAAAAAAAAAAGACCATGCCGTACGCACGGGGGGGGGGGGGGCAGTTAACCCCAGATATTTTGAAAACGTACAGTTTTTTTCCTGAAAATGTTTAACAAAGCTCACAAGTATTGTAGGCCTATATCAAATCCTTCAATTCTACTTTTGAAAATGCAGAAGTATACCCTCATGACCAGTTCGGTCGCTCGAACTCCCTTCACTCCTTTCGCGTTTGAGTTTCTTCGAGAAAAAATTACGCATCTTTCCCCCTCCCCCATCAGAAAAATATTCCGCATACGGCCCTGAAAAAGACAAATATATAAGTGATATAACAAATTTGAAACTCTTCGCTGGCGCGAGCTGCTTGCTAGCCTATTTTGTATTAATTGTTTTCATTTGCTCATTCCCCTGAAAAAAGAAAAGGATTAGCATTGCCTAGAATACGATTGTGCCTGCCCCGACGGGCCCCGACCTGCAACCATGGCAACAATAACACCCAATTTATGTACCAAATGTTACTAAAAGAGACTAATTCATTTTTTCTCGCTCGCTATACGCTCGCTTGCGAATAAAGGAATATACATTGCTTTGAAAACAATTGTGCACACCCTTGACCTGCAACAATATCATTAAAAATGGAAGTGTTTTTTTCGCCCTCTCCGGCTCGCCAAAAAGGAATTGATATCGCGTTAAACGCGATTGCGCCCATCCCGACCTGCAGCAATAAAAACAAGTTCTCATTTAGTGAGAACATGGTACATACAATTGATTTTATTGTTCCATGTCGGGGGCGGGCACAAGCGTGATTTATAGTAAAATCGATGTTACTTCTATTTTGGCGAGCGAGCGAGCAAAACAATTTAATGATGCTGATTGGTACATAATTTTCAGTTTTTTGTTGTTGCAGATTGGGGCTTACACAACCATGTTTAAGGTGATGTTAATTCAATTTTGGCGAGCAAGCTCGAGCCAAGCTGGAAAATACACTATTCTTTCAATAATAATTGGTATATAAATATCAATTCTCTTTTAATCGTAATTAATACATAAAGTGATTTTTTTTTCGCTCACTCGCCGAAGTGGAATTATGCTTACACCACTAACAAAATTTAATGTTCCCGCCGCTGACCTGCTACAATATCATTAAAATGAGAAATGTGGTTTTTTTTTGCCTGCCCGCTAAAATTGGATTGACATTGGCTTTAACACGATTGTACTCAGCCCCGACCTGCAACAATGAAACAAAGTTTATGTTCCAATTCATTGAGGACAGTTGAACCAAGTTTAATTGGCAATTATTAAAAAAAGATGCGATTTTTTTTATTGCTTGCTACGCTCGCTCGCCAAAACGGAATTAACATCAGCTTAGACATGATTGTGTAAGCCCTGACCTGCAACAAAAAAAAGCCTGAAATTTATGAACCAATTATCATTACAAAAATTTTGCTCGCTCGCTACGCTCGCTCGCCAAAATAGAAATAACATCGCTTTTAATAATCACGTCTATGACATGGAACAATAAAACCAAGTTTATGTACCATGTTCTCACTATAAGAGAAGGGATTTTTTCTCTCGCTTGCTAGCTCGTGGAATTATGTGCCCACCACTGACCTGCTACAATATCATTAAAAATAGAAATGTGGGATTTTTTGCCTGCCCGCCAAAATGGGATTGACATTGCCTTAAACACTATTGTGGCCGCCCCCGACCTGCAACAATGAAACAAATTTTATATAGCAATTCATTGAGGAAAGATGTATTTTCGCTCGCTAGCTAAAATGGGTATAAAATCACCCTAAACACAATATTGTTCCCACACCCGGCATGGGACAATTGAACCAAGTTTAAGTGGCAATAGTTAAAAAAGAAGTGATTTTTTTCGTGCTAGCTACGCTTACTTGCAAAAATGAAATTAACGTCACTAGTAAACGAATGTGCCCACCCCTGACTTGCAACAATACCAGTTTATATACCAAACCGTTACTTAAAGATATCTTTTGGCTCGCTCGATCGCCAGAAGTGAAAATTAGCATCGCCTTTTGTTTTTGTGTCGGTCGCTTGCCCCCCCCCCCCCCCTGACGGAGTACTCCAGGTACGCCACTGCTCCTCCCCTCTCCCACTATTTCTCTATTTCTGTCTTGTATTTCCTTTTCTTAATTTTCTGACAATGTGATAATTACTCATTAATAATTTTCACCAATATGTATAGGTCATTGACATTCACCAATGTTAAACAGTGTAATAACAATTCCATAATGGCATTCGTATTAATTTATCATTTGACATTTCCGTATTATGTGCAAAAGTTTACTTTTACAATGCTTCATTAAGCTGAATCAACGCAATTCTCGTTCATTATTTTGCTTACATTTTTTGTGGTCATAAATTGAACTCTCCTTTTTCCCCCTTATCCTTTCCCTCTCCCTCTCTTCCACTTTTCATTATTTCTTTCTTCTTTCTTCTCAATTCACTGACAAACTGATTATCACCATTTTTATATGATACATTGTGAGCCAATTATTGTTAGTCTTTGGACTTTTTATTTGGTATATTTGTAATAAAACCGAAATTGAATTGAATTGAATTGAATAGAGGGTTACTGTCTAAGTTTAAGCTGTAACTGGATTTTTGGTATTTTTTTTATTTTTATTCAATACAAGCCAAGTATCAATTCCTCTTACACTGTCTTACATCTACATTTCCTATTATACATTTACCATACCCTCCTACTACAATTGCCGCAGAACAATTACCCCAAGGATAATTGCCCCCATTGGAGCCTGAGGGAGCAAAGTGATCGACCATTGACAATATTCGCACTTTTGTCTGTTTGTTTGATTGATTTTATTTCTGCGTTCAATACAAATTAAAATTCGAACAATAACAAATACAATGAATAAAATGTTTACAAGAGTAATTAAATGAAAAATCATGTACAACTATATCATACGATAAACATGTACGAAGCATACAATAAGATAAGATAAGAAATACGAAATATTTTCAATAAATTAGAGAGGTAATTTAGAACGCAGGAGACCACCATCGTGAGCGGTTAGGATGGAGATGGATGGCGGCCTCGTTAAAAAAAAATTAAAAAAAAAAAAAAAAAAAAAACAGACAAACAAACAAACAAACTTAAACCCACACCTCCACCAAAAATAAATATTACTTTCTCCTCCGTATTGTGGGTGCATAATTCTTCTCTTCTTTTTTTTCCTTCTCCTTTTTGCGTTTTTCTTCTTTCTTGCACTCCTTCATGTTCATGTTGCCTGGGGCCTGTATCCCCTGCTCCCGTAGATTTTTGTGTTTTATGAAAAAATCTGTTTATATAACAATCTCTACCAAAAGAAGTGATGACTGTTATTTCTGATTATTTCTTATCAATAACTCACTATTGAAACAATCATGGTTTCCCGGAATAACTCTCCAAGAAAGTAGAATTCATTCAGAAAATGTATTTCCATTTTTTTACCCCATCGAA